TAAGTACTATGCTACAATATAGTTTTAAGTTCGATAGATGGTCTCAATGGCTAAACTGAGACCGTCTGCCCAGAGGACTTGAAATTCTTTCTATATAAATACCGCCAAAGGATGCCGAAAAACCAACGCTAAAAAGTCGAGAGGTCACTTATCACCGACTTAAGGTTGAGAAGAAGCCCCTAGAATTTTCCCTGCATCCTAGCTCAGTTGGTAGTGCCCAACTAGAATCTAGGGGCATGAGTCCGAATCCCATCGAAGTCTGAATTTTTTTTTATCCAGGTTTCTTTTCTGCAAAAGCTAAAATTCCAGCTCACCCTCTAGGATTATGGCTTTAATTTTTTTAAAGAAATTATTTTATTTAGTCCCGACAATGTCAAATCGTGAAAAAATGGTAAAACAAAGGCTTCGATTTACGTATGGCATTATTTACACTTTCCTTAAAGAATTGACCGCCGGCCTCCTTTGTTATCAGTCTGATATACGCATGTCTTGGTCTTTCTATATCACGAAAAGCATGCGGTTTTAGATATCAAAGAATGGTTTTTAGTCTGTCGCATAAGTTGTGTTCGTCTCCACGGCAAAAGTTAACAAGAATTCTTCCAAAAATATAATTTGTTCCTCTAAGTTTTCATTTTTCCGTGTATTCTTCAGTGGGACGTGCCCAATTTCAGTTTGAGCGCGTATAATCTTTGTAATGGCTGTTTTGTTTCCCGTATTCAGCCGCCAATAACAAAGTTTAAAATTTTTTGATATGGTTGTTTTCACGTTACGTCGATAGATGCTCGTAAATCTTAGTCTTGCCTTCAACCGTCAGCAAGCTAAAGTACCCCTAGGTTTCTTTTGTACATTTTATCTCAAAGGAAATTTCTCAAAATCACAAGTAAACACGCAAAAGTTTTCAGTAATTATGCAATACCGTCTGACTTGTGTTTATGTTCGAAGAACCTTGTCCCCAGAGAGCAAGAATCCACTCGATTAAGGAATTGAGCCTGTCCATGGACATCAAGCGAATATGAATTTGCATAGTATTTAGTTTGTACACAAAGACGAGACGATCTAAAATGAGCAGTGCAGGAATTAACTCAAGTCAAGTTCGAAAGCCTTAAAGACAACTACCTTCACCTTCCTTTGTTTTCGAAAGAGTTAAAATCGGTTTAACTTTACTTTAGCCACGTTCTATTGTTTATTCAAAATTGGCGTGTTTATTGTCGAAGATTACTTACTCCAGACTTAAGTTATACCAAAACAGACAAGAGATTTTAAATTGTGCGGAAAGACTATATCACAATTCATTGACAGCTCGTGTGTAAGTGTAAGAAATTGCATGAACGCTACTACATTTCGTAATTTAAAGGCCAGAGTGAATCTTAGTGAATTCCACAAATTAACAAGAATATTTAAAAACATTGCATCACTGCATTTTGACGCACGAAACACCGACAATGCAATACTTCCATACTCGTGCCCGATTAACACACAGACACTGAATACTCTCTTTACAAAGCCATCCATGTATTACATACTTGCACACGGGAAAAAGTCGATTTACCGTTGTGTTGGTCAGTCTACGCTTACGCAGTGATATATCGTTTTCAGTTCTTTTACCAAGTTCGCAACGCTTGTTTCCCTACTCCTCTTTAGCATATGATGGATATTTAGCCTCAAAGTAATTTGAATTAAAGCTTAGACAAGGACGGCAAGGGTCAATGATTATTGGAAGAGGGTCTCACTGAATAAAAAAACCACAACAAATAAAATTATTTTATTACGTCGTAGACAGTAGCCTTAACAACACAAACAACGCACACCGCTGAATTAAAGATAAACGCAAGACCACTATGCGGAATTATATCAGCCGAAATGCTATGCAAAAAATGAGGAACACCACATCACTGCAAGTTGTAGAGTGTCCCTCAATCTTACCAAGCAGATTGAGCAAAGGCGTCGAAAACTCAAACCATTGATAGAGTAAACAAACACTTTATTCCACGAATTTAAAAAGTTTTAAAACTTCCCGTGGTTACAAGAAGCTTCCATTAACAAGGCTAGATTAGGTTAGGTTTTGTTAAACAAAATCGATTCATAAACAATTCACTAAACCACTGCTTCCAATGTTCAGGATTTTCTGTCTAGAATGCGACGCACGTGCCGACTGTGATGCTCTACTAACGTCGAAACATCCATATCTAATATCTTAATACCCAATATCCTAGGATCCTCTAAGACAATGTCAAAAATTCAATTCAAAATAGCGACCAAAAGGCTTTTAAACCATACTCCAAAGGGAAGATGAGTTGGCGGGAAAGTCAATAGGCCTGCAATGCGTATAAAAATAGGCATACAATGCGTATCTTCATTTAATTAATTTTTTTTTAATTTTACAACATGATACTTACATTAACTACATTAAGGTTCCCTTTAGGGGCCTTTCTACGTACATTGTGTTACACTACGTACATTGCGTTACACTACGTACATTGCGTTACTCTACTTACTTAGAGTATTCTTAAGATACAAGTAATATTTATGCTACTTACATTGTTCTACTTACACTACGTACAGTGTGATAATGCACACATATTTAGAGGCACATCATTTACCCACAAAAAAAGAGAACCTTATTCACAAAAAATTAACAGCTACGAAAGACAAGAAGGCTAAATTGTGGGTGGGATAGATAAGAGTAAGAGCTTGAAAAAAAAAAACAAACAAAAGTACGGCGTTTAGCAAAAATTGATTTTCAAAGGCTTAAGATCAGCGTTTGGAGAGTAAAATATAGCCTGTGAGCAGGGTCACATTTGGAGCCCGCCCGCGAACTATATAGCAATTATTGTGCATGAAGTATTTTGTCCCAATTCTGTTGAAATTTCTTCTGTAAATCAGTCACGATAGATATTTGTTTTTCAATTTCTAAATTATATTTCAGCTGTTGCGCATATTCTCCGATAGATGGAGATTTGTTCTTAAATTTACAGCAATAAATATAATACCTTGCAAGGAGAAAACAATGGCTTACAAAAATATCATCTTTTCTTTCCTCTAAAACCTAAACATTCATCGATATCCAAAACGTGTGAGGCTGTTATCAAATGAAATGAAACGAAAAAACAATGAACCCTTCCCCAAAAGGTTTTCGTTACCGAACATTCCCAGAAAAGATAGATTAATGTTTCCTTGTCTGTTTTGCCCAAATAATTTAATTAATTTTGCTTAAA